CGTGTTTACCCCATAGCGTTAATCACTTTCGTTTAGTCATTACTTTCTGCATCCTCTCACTTATATCATATTTTAAAAACGTAAAATACTTTCTTCATACACTTATGATATTTTTGATACAAAACGTGTTTACCCCATAGCGTTAATCACTTTCGTTTAGTCATTACTTTCTGCATCCTCTCACTTATATCATATTTTAAAAACATAAAATACTTTCTTGAAACAATTATTAAAACAGCTTCAAGATTCATTAATATACTGTTCATGAAAACATCTTAGTTTATAAAATACTGGATTAGTCTCCATACCACTTTTGTACATTATGTCCATATTACTACTTGTTCATTTCAGTTCAGTATGTAATATTTTATACAGTTTATAAATGATAAATTGTACAATTTTTATATTTCACTGAGTTCTTCGTACTTTACAACAAAATCATTTATACTCACTCTAAGATTAAACTGCCCAGTAAGATTAAATTGCCCAACATCAAGCACTAGGTCAAAAGTTCAGACAGAGTCAGTCGGAAAATATCACTTATATTCATCTTACATTGATAATTCACTCTGTTCAAACTAAAGATAAAATGCTAGATAATTTTGTTGCTAGCTTAGTCTTATGATAAATTACATCCCCTAAATATTAGTTTCTAACAAATGTGTTTGAACATCTAATACAAATCTCCATTTATATTTATTGTATAAAACGTATGTTTCATCATAGCCCAATATGCTACTATTAATGTATGTAAGTACAATCACAGATTAAACATGCATACTGAAACATTTGTTAACAAAACTTCAAATCCTTGCAGACGTTTTGACTTATGCATAAAGAAAGTTCGTTTATAAGTTGTTCTCTAAAACGAAAACGTTTTATGCACGAAGGTCTGATCCATAAAGAAACAAGATTTGTGATAAACGTTCTACAGAAAAGTAACAATATTAATAGCTAATTAAACATTTACTTAGATCCTTCAAACTTTAGCGTAACAAATCAACTTATAAACTTATTTTTCTAACAGGTTGGTTGGCTTTTGGATGGGT